TGCTTCCATGTTTTCCCAATTGTAAATAAAGCAGCAATAAACATGGGGGTGCAGGTATCTTTTTCAATCAGTGTTTTTGCGTCTTTTGGGTAGATACCTAGGAGTGGGATTGCTGGGTCATAGGGAAGCTCCATGTTTAGCAGTTTGAGGAACGGGAGGTCCATTTTTAACAATTTGAGAAGCCTCCACACAGCTCTCCTTGGAGTTGGGCCGATTTGCATTCTTGCATTCCCACCAGCAGCATAGGAGTGTTAAAGGACATTTTTTTAAACATCACACCTAACAAAAGTTACAGTGATTAGTCAGTGATTAGTTACTTTCTCATTATCATCTGGTAGTGTCTATACTGAAATTTTGCCTATCTTAGATGTTGCTTAGCTTATCCTTTCTCCCTCCTTCTCTCACCCCCTTACTAATAAGGCAACAGACGAGGTCCACATACTCCATCTGGTTATTTTCTGTATTGAGTCCGTTTTGCTCCTGTCCTCACCCACCACCCATGCTGTCTGGTCATGTGTGCATAGAATGTTGGGATGCCGGATAGAATGTTCGAGTGCCATCCACAGCTGCTTGCTTCCTCATGCCACTCAGTGTCTCCTACCCTTTGTAGTTTCTTTAAACTAGTAGTAAGAGCTAGGGCTCTGATTAGGTTCAAGTTTAGTTCCTGTAGGGAAGAAAGCTTCATTTTTTCACATGTTACCTGTGCCTGCCTGCCTCCAGTTTATGGCTGGTGAGATTATTGGGCAGTTCTGAGTATTCGCTCATGTGACTGTACCCTGACTGGGATAGTTGGGATTAACCTAGGCTTCTCTTGCCACTCAGCTGAGAATCTGAATAGCGATGAAAGGCTCATACCTCTTACCATGCATGTGCCTGTAATAATCCTATGAAAAATATTGCAGTTCTGTGAAATCATCTGAAGTATTCATTGTGGGTGTTCTTGATGCTTGTCAAAGGGTCAGCAAATTTTTCCTTAAAAGGTCAGAGTGGGGCCCTCCCTGGTGGCTCAGTGGGTTAAAGCACAGCACTAAAAAGCTTAAGCCACTTCCACATGAGTTCGATCCCAGACTGCCCGGGAGGAGATCCACATGGCGTGGCAGACCTTTCTTGATCCGCCCGCTGCTCCCCTCAGCAGTGTACTTCGTCAGTCTGCCTGTTCTGCTCCCCACTCTGTCCCTGGTGAATCCTTTCACCCTCCGCATCTCTGGCCTATACCCCAGTTTCTGAGTTCTGTATGAATAAATAAATAAATAAATCTTTGGAAAAAAAAAAAAAGGTCAGAGTAAATCCTTTGGGTTGTGCGTCATATAACGTATCTATCACATATTCCTTGTTGTGTTGTCTTCATAATCCTTAAAAATATATAAAAACCATTCTGAGCTTATGGACCATGTGAAAACAGAAAGCACACTGGATCTCGCTGCTGGCAACATCTGCCAACCCCCACTCTAAGAAAACACACAGGAGTTTAACAGTGTCAACCTCTGATCTGGAATTTGCTCCTTTTCTATAGACCCTGCTTGACCAACAAGAGCTGCTCTGTGGACAGATTGCTGGAGTTGTCCACTGTATTTCAGACATTTCCTCCTCTCCCCCAACTCTTATTCGTCTGCGGAAACTTAAGTTTGCCATAAAGGTTGATGGAGATTACCTTTGGGTAAGTTTCACAGGCAGTATCAATGCCATCAGGGTCGTTCCATGAGCCAGCTGTCGAGGGGATGAGTATTGTAATGGTTTCCATGCTCTCCACCTTGGGTCTCTGTCAGCCTCCCCCCTCAGCCCCCAGGCACCATGTCCAGTATGGCCCGTGATTCCTGTGTCACTCTGCTGGTGCCTGTCACAGCTGAGTCCCCTTCACAACACTTCTGACATGGTTAGTGTCTCCTACAAAACACTTAGGCAAGCATACAGAAATTCTGTTTACTCTGTGATGCAAATTAAGTTTTTGCCTTCTGTCTTTGCTTTTTTCTATACTTATTCAGTGACCTGGAAACTCTTAGGATAACCACACATATATTTGGTTTCAGAGATTTCTAAACAAAAGATAACATTTCTTTATAGCTATTGGGTTGTCAGAAAAGTCATGATGTATTTTTTCCTGTGTTTTTCAAACAAATGATAACTTTCTGTCATAGCCTCTAAAGTGCTTCTGTACCATGTTTATGTGGTACTTATGTTTTATTTATTTTTTGTGTAGAAGAACTGGGGTGCAGGCCAGAGGTACAAGGGCTGAGAGAATTCACCAGAGACGGTAGAGAACAGAACAGGCAAATCTACTGAAACACACTGCTGAGGGGAGCAGTGGGTGAGACAGGAGAGGTCTGCTGGGCCATGAGGGTCACCTCCCTCGCAGGGGATTGAACTTAGGCCATAGCAGTGATAGTGCTGAGACTTAACCCCAGACCACCTAGGAGGCATGGTACTTATTTTAAATTGATTACTAAGGTAAAGGGATGCTTAATTGGGAGGGCGTTCAGCTTTGTAGGTGTTTCAAACATTATTATCAAAATTTTCTAACATACCTACCAGTTCAAAGAATTTCACAGTGGATAGTCACATAACCTCATACATTCCACAAGGAACATTTTACTGTAGTTGCTTTATCACATATTCGTTGATTTATCCACTTATCCTGATCAGTCCAGTTTTATTTTAATGCTTTTCAAAGTTGTGCACATTATCATAGCCCCCAGCCTATTACTTTGTCATGTGTAATATTAACTAGGGTTCAGTATCAGTTTTTTCTTTTGAGGTAAAGTTGACATCTGATGAAACGCGTGGCTCTCAAGTGTACCATTTAATGCATTTGGACAAATGATGCATAAATCCCCATCACGGTATAGAATACTTGCCTCACTCCAGAAAGCTCCTTTATGACCTTTCCTACCTAATTCTACCGTATTCTCACCCCCATCCCAGGCAACCATTGTTCTGAGTCTTTTTCACCATAGATTAATTCTGCGTGTTCTAGTGCATCATAAGGGTAAAATAATACATTCTTTTCATAACTACATGAACTGTGTTCAGTTTTGGGCAGTTAAGAATAAAACTTCTAGGGCCCTCACTGGTGGCACAAAGGTCTAAGCACAGCACTATGAAGCTGTCACATCTACTGCAGCATGAGTTAGATCCCTGACCAGGAAGATGACCCATATGGCGCGGCAGACCTCTCCTGACTCCCTGCTGCTCCCCTGATTCCCTGCTGCTCCCCTCAGCAGTGCACTTCATCGATCTGCCTGTTCTGCTCCCCGCTCTGTTTCTGGGGAATGTTCTCATCCCTGTACCTTTGGCCAGTACCTCTGTTCTTACATGCGTAAGTAAATTGATCCTTTTTTTTTTTTTTAAAGATTTATTTATTTATGCATACAGAACTGGGGTACAGGCCAGAGATGCAGAGGGTGAGAGGCTTCACCAGAGACAGAGTGGGGAGCAGAACAGGCAGATCGACGAAGCACACCGCTGAGGGGAGCAGCGGGCGGGTCAGGAGAGGTCTGCCACGCCATGTGGTCACCTCCGGGACAGGCGGGAATCGAACTCATGCGGAAGCCGTCCTAGACTCTCAGTGCTGTGCTTTAACCCGCCGCGCCACCAGGGAGGGCCAGTAAATTCATCTTTTAAAAAAAAGAATAAAACTTCTAGGAACATTTCTATCCTGTAAGTTTTTGTTTCTTATGGGTAAATATTTAGGTGTGGAATTACTGGGTCACTATACATGATTTTATGAGAACTTGTGGAGATTTTCCTAAAGCAGCTTGCTGTGTTTGAAAATTCCATTTAATCCATGTGCTTATCAGTGCTGATGTCTTTAATTTTAGCTATAAAGCTGGTTGTGGTGGTATGTCAGCCTATTTCTGGGTTCTCTTTTTATTGATCTATTTGAAGATCCTATACAAATATTACACTGTCTTGAAATCAAGTAGTATGAGCCCTCTGACCTTATTCTTTTCCATCATTTTGATCCTTCCAGTTTCCATTTTAGAATCAGTTTTGCAGTTTCTGAAGAAAAGTGGGTGGATTTATGATTAGCATTGCAGTCACTCTATCATTCTTCTGGGGAAGAAGAAGCTCTTGGCTGTGTGCCAGGCATTGTAAGCTCTTGGATTACATCGGTGGTCAAAAAGAAAATCCTGGTGTCAGTGCAGCTTCCATTGGGAGAGAAGTTTTGTTTTGTTTTCTGTCAGGGTTTGTGGGTTAATGATTCCCTTAGGGAAGATTGCTCGAGGTGGAATTACTGAATCAAAGGATGTGAAGTTTTCTCAGACTCTTTAAAGACATGGCCAGATGACTTTCTAACGGAGCGAGAACAAGGATCCTGCTTCTTTGTAAGATTAGAAAGTGCAACGTGCACGTAGCAAATCGGTGCCTGAAAACTGTGCTCACCCGTTTCTCGTTCCCCAGGCCCTTTGTCCAGCTGGGGATGCGCGATTGCCATGCATGAGACAGCTTGGGTCCTGTCTGGTGTTTGTTGTGAAACCCAAATTAGACACTCAGTGTCCCAGAATAGACCTAACAGTGCCGGGGTCAGAGCAGAGGTAGCATTGGCTCAAGTGACCGTAACGGGCATCAGGGAGGCTAGACTCTGGCTCAGCAGGGATGGGAAAGCCCTGGGCAGACAGAGGAAGCACTCAGGGGCCTTGCAGGCTGGAACCTGAATAGGGCTGAGAAGCACTTGGTCTCTTGGAGGATGTGGGGTGAGGGCAGCGAATCAGTTTGCTGGGACAGTGAAGGGTGGCTGTGGAGCCCCAGATGCCTGGATTTGGGACTCGACTCAGGAAGGAAGATGTCCGTCTTCATGGTTTCCCTCTGCAGGCGCTGGGCTGTGCGGTGGAGCTCCCTGATGTCAGCTGCAAGCAGTTCCTGGCCCAGCTGATTGGGTTCTTTCAGTTTTACAATGGACCTGTTTCTCTGGCTTACAAGGTATGAGGGTTGTGTTGAGTAATGGTGCTGCCAGAATAGCACTTAGTCAGGGTGTGAGATACTTCACACAAACCCATCATGATGAGCAACAACAGTATGGGTTTCCTGGGGCCCTCTCAGAGCTTTGCTCCCAGTGGCATGGGTCACACTCATTCCAGATGCTTCTCCCCATCTGCTCTCCTTGGGTGGCTGGAAAGAGGAGCTGGCTACCCCTCCCCAACAGGCACCCTGTGTCAGTGGTGGGATAGGGGTTCCTTCCTGTGTTTGCAGGACGTTCAAAACGGGCCCTCCCGACCCTGCCTTCCAGTTGGTTTCCTGCGTGAGGAACAATTTTTATGGCACTTGGGATTCTTATCGAAGAGTGTACCTCGGAACAGCACATACTGACCACAGGCTGTGTCTGTTTTAGAGCCGCTCCCAGGAAGAGCTGAGCGCCGAGTGGGACACCTTCATTGAACAAATTCTGAGAAACACCAGTGATCTACACAGGATATTCAATTCCCTGTGGAACTTGGATCGAACTAAGGTAATGCTCTCATCCTCCTCTGGCCTCACATGCAGGGGTGGATGTCTGGATACAGTGTTTCCCTTGCAGCGCTGTCTCTGGAAAAGTGGTTGTGGGTCAGCTCCGGGTCTGTGGTTGCCCAGCCCTGGGATTCCACACAGCTGCTCCCTTGCTAACCGTGAGCTCGGACAAGCCGGGGCACGCTCAGCCTCGCGGCCCTCGTCTGTGAGCCTGTGTCAGAGTGTCACCCCCAGAACTGCCTAAAGGGTGCAGTTAGACACCCTGACCGCTCCAGCGCAGGTCAGCAGGAAAGGGCATTCCTGTGTCTCTGCCCCCGTGTGCGCAAGTCGGCCACCTGCAGGCCCCATTCTCTCTTGATCCGAGTGTTTTATGATTTCATTGTCCTCAACCCCCCAAGTGCCCATCTAACCATTTTCAAAACAAGGGGGCCATGTCTCGGGGAGAGCAGCTGGGCAGGTCTTTGTCCCCATCAGCCATGCTGTCTGCCCTCAGCATTCAGGGGATGGGGGCTGCTGGTGGGCCTGGCCTGGCAGCATGGGCTCTAGTGCTCCGTGGCCTTGAACTTGACAAACATCACACCCTCCTAGGCAGAGGCCCACAAATGGAAGACTGTGCCTGAAGAACGCAGCTCCTGTACCCTGAGCATCTCAGGAGGCGGGCCGCACTCTGTGTCAGCCCCTTCCTGGGGCTGGTCTCACTGCTGGAGTTAATTGCTTCCCCTTCACCCGTGGCAGGGTTGGGGCACCTCTACGGGATGGGCGCGTCTCCCCCACTACTGGTGGAGGGCTTCTTGAAGGGACTGGCACTGCCTTAAGACCACTGAAGAATAAGACCAGCTTCTTCACGTGGCAGCAGCTCCAGAGCCTGGCCCCGTGACACAGGTTCTAACCGCTCAGTTTCTCGTGGTTTCCAGCTGCCCAGCAGGAAATACCAAGAGGCTTTTGGTTCTGCTGGCTGTATTTGGCTAGGTTCAGCATCTTTTCTAGTGTTTTTCGGGACTTCTTTTTCTTTTTTTATTATTTTCCTGTAGAAAAACTGGGATACAGGCCAGAGGTGCAGGGGTGAGAGTATTCACCAGAGACAGAATGGGGAGCCGAACAGGCGGACTGACTGAAATCACTGCTGAGGGGAGCAGTGGGTGAGACAGAAGAGGTCTGCTGCGCCATGGGGTTCAGCTCCCTGGCTGGGGATGGACTCAGGGCATAGCTGTGATAGGGCTGAGACTTAACCCACTTGGCCACCAGGGAGGCCCACTTTTAGGGACTTCTAGATAATTGACTTCGCACCAGGAATGTAAGAGAGGCATAGTTCCCCAAGTAAGAGACCATGGCGTTTCATCGTAGGCTGTGGATTAGCACCATAGGGCCGTCTTGGACCTCAGAACAGTTGTATCACTGTGGAACTTGTTCTTCAGAGGGGCCTGGAGGACAAGATGGGTGGTCACACCTGGCCCCACAATCAGCACCCTGGCTGTCCTCTCCCGGCATCCCCTCCTCGCTGTCTCCTGCAGAGAGCCCCAGCTGCACCCACTGTTCAGCTTCTAGCGAGGCCTCCTGCTTCCGGACCTTGGCCTCTGTGGTGTCAGCAGTCCTGGGCGTAGAGAGGAGGAATAGATCTGAAGTGTTAGTGCCCAGTTCATCATTCTCCTTTTGCAGACTTTGGGGCGTGACCCGTCCATCTGTTCTGCAAAGCCCCCGGCCCTTACACCCCTTGTTCACGTGTGCCCGCTTCTTCCCCTGCACAGGTGGAGCCCCTGTTGCTGCTGAAGGCAGCCCTCATCCTGCAGACCTGCCAGCGTTCGCCTCACATTCTCGCCGGCTGCATCCTCTATAAAGGACTGTGAGTAGTGCCAGGCTCGCCTCGGCCCCTTTCCCCTGGGCAGAGCTGATCACCCTCCTCCAGTTCCTGGGCTGCTTTGGCAAATATCACATACTTTAGATTTGATTTACGGTGTATATCTACCTTTTAGTGAATCCCAGAAATTGGAATTTTTATGTCCAGATAAGTTAGGATCGTGAGGGGCTGTCTCAAGAGACCCCTAGACCTGTCTGGTAGTGCTTGCCATCATAGCTCTTGGGGTCCAAAATGCTATCACCAAGCCCCAAGGTGCTGGCGGCCAGCGCTGTAAGCAGGAGGGTGCAGGAGCCTGCTGTGACTCCCTCCCACTGCCCAGCCCTCCCGTGTGCTGCGGCTCGGCTCTGCACAGCACCCTGATGTGCTCCCCGTCACCCGTCCTCCTGCCTGCCCCTGGCCGAGCCTGCCTCTGGGCTGGCCTCTGAATACTCACCACACCTCTTCAGTGGATGGAGGGCCTCTTAGCGAGCCCGAGAGCCCGCAAGCCCGAGAGCCACTCCATGCCTCTTCCAAGGCCGCACTCCACCTGGAGGGTTTACTCTTTCAACCCAGCAGGCAGGGTCATTGCTGTGTGCCCAGAGCTTTCTGATGACCAGACGAATGTGCACCTGGACCAGCTCTCTGGGCCCTAACAAACAGTCCCCAGGTCTGGCTGCTCTTCAGCCCCATGGTGTGACTGTAGGCTAGTTGTTTAATCTGTCTTCTCTCCTGGGAAGCAGAGACACTGGAGAATGAAAGGAGATGAGGCGGGAAGCAAGGCCACGCGCAGTCCTGTGCTCAATGCTCCTGACGCCTTTCCCGCTTTCATCATGATCACGTAGCTTGTGCTGACTCCAGTTATGTGGCTTCAAAGTGACGTTTTCCCCTTTTTCTGGTTTTGCGTTTCTCCTGCACCAGTATGTCCTCATTGCAAACAGTTGAACCCCAAGAAAAGCAATTCAGACGTTCTCCTCCACTCTCCCTGTCCCTCTGCCCATTTACTATTAGTAGTTTGGAGAACGTCTTTGCACTGTTCTCTGTGGTGTCGGAGTGCCAACCATCCCAGGCTGGGCAGGTTCCTGGTGGACTTGGGCAGACGGAAAGAGAATTTTGGAGTCCTCGATAGAGCCGACAAGCCTTTAATGCTGACACAGGGAACTGGGTCCACAGGCAGAGCGGGCAGGGAGGCTGGGGCGGCGACAGCCCCCACGATCTCTGCGAGCTCCCTCTGGCTGCTGTCCTCCAGCTCGCTCATTCTCGCTTCCACTATCTCCTGGCCCGGGCGTCTGCACTCCCAGGCCACCCGGCCCGTGATCGCCGGCTTCTCTGCCCAGGTGTTCTCTGCCTGTGTGTCTGCTGCTCGTGCTTCAGGTTCTTTGTAGAATAACATGAGGTCACGTGTGAACAGTGAAACCTGAGAGGAAAACAAAGTGCAGGTGGCGGTGCAGAGGCTGGCTGGGGAGGCCACGGGCCTGAGCCCCTCCGCGTTCCTTACAGGTGTTTTCACATACCCGAATACACAGATTGGTGGTACTTGCTGCTGTGTGGGGGGGCGTCATCTCGGCTTCACGTGTACAGCAGAGCTTTGTAGCCCCGTTGGTCACAGATGACCATATTCCTGCAACAGCTGCACAGTCTTCGGTGTTTTGGCTGTGCCATGATTAACTCACTCTCTTTTGATGGACATGTAAACTGTTTACCCATTTTTAAATGATTTTACCATTTTCTCTACAATAATAGTCTTACACATGCTTCTTGGTAAAAGCCAAGAAGTCAGAGAGCTTGCATATTTTAAATTCTGGTAAGAACCACCACAGTGGTACCTAAGGGGTTTGCCAGTTGAAACTCCCACCAGCCTTGTCTTAGAGACCCCCTCCAGGGGTGTCAGGAACCTCTTCACTTCAGAGTCAGTGTGTGAACCTCATGCTCCTTCCTGTGTTTGACCCCCTAGGATTGTTAGCACGCAGCTTCCTCCCTCCCTCACTGCCAAAGTCCTGCTTCGAGGAGCTGCGCCTCGGGGCCAGGTATGGTAAAGCCTGTGGCTGGGGTGCTCCCTCTAAAGCAGCAGCCAGGCACCGGGTGGGGAGGCCGGGCCTCCGTGCTGGGTGGAGGGACGGGTGGGGCTGGGAGCCTTTCCAGGACGCAGGCCCACCGGGGGTGTTGCTCCAGAGTGAAGCCACTGACAAGGTTGAAAGAAATGCTTTCTTCGTGTGGGAGGCTTGAACAGTGGGTTTCTCCGATCCAGAGGAGAGCTGGCAATTTGATGTTCCCAGGATGGGCTCCGTGTCAGCGAGATGCTGGGTCTTAGAGCCCGTAAAGGGTGATATAGGAAAACAAATGCTTAAATGCTTGCATCTTGCATTTGTTTCTGTGATTGGAAAAGGCCAGACGTGCTTGCTGAGAAGGACGCTGCCTGCAGGTGCGCTGCGTAGCAATAAGGGCCTGGCACGCCACCCTGGGTTTGCTCTTAACACAGGAAGATGTGCTGTACGTGTATCACACGGCAGCTTGTTGCTTCGAAGTGAGCAGAGGTTTAAAGCATGTTGAGCTCCGTTCAGGCACCTTCCCGCACGGGTGATAATGGGCACATTGAAGCTGGCCCTCCCCCACCGGATCACACACCTTCAGGAATGCCAGCCTAAGAAAATTAACTCCTGAGGGATTCTGCTCAGAACTTTGGCACAACAGAATTTATAACATGAGAAACAACAGCAAACTTAAACATTTCCGGTGGGCAGAGGCAGGCAGGGGCCACCTGTTTTCCAGTTGCACTGGACCCTTGGGAGCTGGGGCAACAGGGTGGGTCATGGCACGCGAGGCTGGCGGCTCCGCTGGAAGTCCTTACTACCACAGCCTTTTTAGAAAAGTTCGCCAGCAGCTGATCTAGAGCAGGCAAATTCAGTGACGCTGTGCTTCATAAAATCTTAGTCAGCCACGTAAAATGGCCAAAGGGGTTTTAATGACAACAATTGCATATTACTGTGCTAAGTAGAAAAATAACATTTTAAATAATGTGGCTTGAAGTTTCAAAAAAAATGCATACACTAAAAGGAGAGCATGCCTAATATTAACAGTATTAGCATGGGTGAAGGAGTTGTGTGGAAGGGATTGTTGCCTAGGGTAAATGTGAGAAGAAGGAACGCCACCTCATCTCTTAGTGAAGGTCATTTTGACTAGGAGACCAGTTCTATTTGTGTTTTGTTTTGTTTGGGTGGGTCCTTTTGAAACCTTTAGGTTGAGGTGGTCGGGAAGCTCTTTTGAGAAAATTCTCAGATTTCTCACCTTGATGGGAATAAAAATAAGCTAGCGAGATCAAGTATAGCCTTTCTGTCGGGGGTCACGGGGCCTTCGCCTTCCTGGTAGAATGGGCCGAGTGTGAGCACTGTGCCAGGGCTGTGACAGGTGTAGCTATCCTGCCTGCGGACGGGCTGCACTCTAGAAGGTATAAAAGGTGAGTTCTCCAAAGGTGTAAAAGAGAACATGAATCTCGCTTTTTATGCCCAAAGGCAAAGCTGAGCACCCAGCTCTTGAAGCCCGGTGTGATTGGGTGGCAGCTGCCCTGCAGTCTGTGAGGCCCTGGTGTTTTTAGACCCCAGCCCTGGCGGTGAGCAGGTAGCTTGGGGGGGCTTCTGCTCCATCTGCTTTGCTGTTGGCATGTGGTTAGGACAAGCTTTCTGGGCCTCGCCAAGTTTTATGAGCAGATGGCACAGTGTATTCCTGATGGTTAGGTCAGGCAGTGAATGTGGCGCCTGGCACCAACGTCTGCGTGTGTTTATTTTCAGAGGATGCCTACAGGAGGGGATGCCCTGTGGGAAAGTGGTGAGTATGATGATGCGGGACATAGTTGCCTTCGAGAATTTCATTTGGAGCGCTGTCTTTTCCCCATGCAAGTCCTGGGAAAGGCTCAATGTTTGGTTTCATCTACTCATGAGACGAGGGAAATAGAACAGAGAAAAAAGTTACCCATCAAAGCCCTAATAGGAAGGCTCAGGTTTTTGGCCCGACTTTCAATTTCATATCCTCCTAAACTCACTGTTAGGAGACTGCTGACACAAGTTCGGGGATCACCATGAGGAAGAAGGTAAGGTAGATGAGGTGTTCCCAAGTTTCTGGGGGTCACCGTGAGGAAGGGGCTAAGATCCATGGGGTGTCCCCAAGAGGGTCATTTTGTTTGATTTTGGAGGATCAGTTACTGGGCCTCTTCTGTCATTTGGAAGTGTTTTATTCCCAGCTGCGTCTTCCAAGCTTCCTTTCACTGAACGTCACCCTTCCCCGTAACTGGGAGTTAAGTCCCCACGTTGGTGCTCTCCTTGCCAGTCACAGAAATTGGAGCTGCAGTTCGGAGGCTTTTGTTCTGGACTGAGGAGCATACCCCAGCTACTCTTGGGGCTGGACGTGGGTTTCAGGCATCTTGTCCCTGGGAGCAGCTCCTGTTCCCCCTGACCCCCTCAAGTCTTCTCAGGCACTCAGGAAAGCCCTGTCCATGTTGTTTTGCAATTCTAGGAGTGGATCTCCCCCCAAATGTCCAGATCATGCCTGTCTTCCTGACCCAAGAGGAAGCTGTCAGTCTGCACGAGTTCCCCAGTGAGCACGTGTCTAGGTAAGAGAGCTCGTCGTACACCGTGGCTTATCCACACCGGCTCCTGGTCCCTCCCACCCCTAGGAATCCCATCCCCTGTGTTCTCTACCTTCGGGAGGGCATCTGGAACTTCAGCAGCAGAGAAGGGGCAGCTGGCATAGTGAGGTGGGCGGGGCTTCTTGCTTTTCAGACATGTGACCTGGGACAAGTCCAGTCCCTGCCTAAGCCTCAACTTTTGGATCTGTGATGTGGACCCAGTAATTCCTGCTTTCTGGGCTTATTGTGACAATTGGCAGTAATGTGTAACACCCAGGAGACCTCCAAATGTGGGTGACCCTTATTCAGTGGGCCCTGCCATGCCCAGGTGCTGATCCAGGCATCGCTGATCCAGGCAGCCCCGAGGGCCACATCGTTTTATTCTTGCTCCTTTGTTTTGACCATGATGGCCTCTTAGGTTCTGTGGTCTCAGGCAGTTACTTTTCTCCAAACCTGTGCTTTTTAGGGAAGTGGAGCTTTAGTCCCCTACCAGGGCACTTGCCCACTCAGTGCTGGGCCTCTTCCTCACATCTGTCTTGTTTGCCAGCTCTCCTGCACCTCCCGCCGGACTCCAGGAGAGCTCAGCCCCTCCCCCTCCAGAGGGGTACGGCCCATCTGCCCTGGGAGGAAAAAGCACCAAGCATTTGGAGTCCATGGCCTGGTCATTGGCAACAACCCCGGAGCCCACATGCCCAGATGTCGCCTTGCCTAATGGCAAGGGGGAGAATGGACATTTGTCTGATGGTGACCTGGAGCGCATCCAGCCTGCTGAAGGTCTCAGCAGCGCCAGGGACAAGGGTCCCCACCTCAGCTGCTCCCAGGTGAAGGAACCTGATGTGTCCCGGGAGAAAGGGGAGGTGGACTTGTCTGAAATCCACATTCCAGGAGCTCAGGAAATGGGAGCATCAGGCTGTTTTGCAGCATGTGCCTCAGATGGCGCAGGTCCTTGCCGTGAGGAATCTTCTGGAGACTTACACAATCTGGAACCCCAGCTGCCTGAGGCCTTGCCTGTGGGTCTCTCTCCCTGTCCTGAGATTCTCTCCCAGAATGGAATCCTAGAAGAGCTCCAGGACAACAGCCAACCCCCTGCTCCCGGAAAAGAGCGCCACCCCAGAAAGACAAGCGGGCCGCTGTCATCGCCTGCCTCAGACTCCAGGCAGGGAGCAGCTGAGCTTCCTGAGGGGGGACAGGGTGTGGAGTGGTGTGCTGATGGGGTTCCTCAGAGCCTCGCAGCCGCAGATCTGGAGTGCAGCCCATCGGTGGCCAGGGTGGACAGCGGGCAGGCTCCAGCCTCCAGAGGGGGGCTCTTGCGGAAGAACCTCTACACTCACCGTGTTAAGGGGCTGATGCTGTCTCTGCTGGCGGAGGAGCCGCTGCCAGGAGATGCGGCAGCCATCGAGGAGGTGGTGAGTGTCGGCTCGTCTTGTGTAGCCCCTCTGAGCCGCCCCTGCTGCGCTTCCCAGCACTGTGTGAGGGCAGGAGGTTGCTCCAGCTGCAGCACTGTGCTGACATGGGCAGCAGGGAGTGCATGGGTGCAGCCTTGTGGCCTGACCTTGTGCCAGGGGGATGAGGGTGTACCTGCCTCTCTGGGTTATTGTGGGGAGCGAGCCAGTGGGAGTCCAGGGTGGAGCACAGGACTGATGCTTCCTCAGGCTTCGCATGCAGGCCTGGCCCTGAGCAGATCTAAGCTGAAGTCCTGCCTCTGGGCTCCCAGGTCCTTGGTTCTGCACACAGACCCTGCCCTCAGACCCTGGGTCCTCGCCTGCAGTGTGGTGATGTGTGACCAGGCGTGCGATGGCCCCGCACACGGCCGTCCTCACCCACTGCTGCGCGTGGCTCCTTGCCTGGGTATCATAGCTGAAGTATGCACTGCGCTGTGCTCTCTGTGGACTCCCTGAATCCCCTTTCTAGAAGGCCTGGAACGTCTGATATGCGAATCAGTTCCAGAAGGCTGCTCTCAAGCCGTCCAGCCCGCTCCACCTCAGGCACAGGTGGACCTCCTCCAGGCCGAGCCCACACTGGAGAGCCAGTTGCTATAGTAACAGCCTTGCTTAAGTTGGCAGGGAGTGTGTAGCAGTAAGAACAGCAGGTTGAAATTGCTGCGGGGTGAGTGGTGTCCTGGGGCTTGCCTTGTTTTTGTTCTTAAATCTATATTATTCTAAGCCGAGCTCATCAACATGCAGAGCTGGCACCTCCTCAGGGAGCCAGTCACCTTGGAGCAGGAGGCGGGAAGCCTGCCTTGCCCACAGCGCCCGGCAACACTCCTCCCCTCCAGCCTGTCTCCTTCCCGCAGACCCCACAGCACGCACTGTGGCTGGTTTGCTATCTGCATCCCGCAGCTGAGTGCGTTTTACCATCTCCTCCACTCCCAGCACAGTGAGTCCTGGTTGCGGTTGTAGAGAAGCTATTTTTGCAGGCCTAGTGTTTGGCTGCAGTAGATACCATATCTCTTTTTGTACCTTCACTTCTAAAAAGAAAAGAAACAATGCAGGCTACTCTCGAGAAGGAAGTCAGTGAAGATGTGTTCTGCACCAACTCCATGCTACACACCTGCCCTCTGCTGTTTCCGCCAGACCTTAGGACAGTTTGGGGTAGGCACGGCAGCTCCCATCGTAACGGGGAAGACACAGCCTCTTTGAGATAGAGCCCCCATGCAAGTGACACACCAGCATTCTTGTCCCCCCACACCAGCCTCTGCTGCCCCCCGATCTGACCTGGGGATGATATAGGTGGGGTGGGGAGGGTGTAGATACCCTGTGCTCTGGCTTTCAGTGTGCAGGCATGTCACTTGGTCTGTCCCGGCACCTCTGTTGTTGGGACAATAGCCTCCTGGCTCACGTGGAAAGTGGAGTTTGGTATTGGGTTTGGTATTGCAGAAAAGACTGCAGCTTAGTGGGAGAGAAAGACTAGTCTTTTCTAAAAAAAAAAAAAAAAAGAAGAGTGGAGGAACTACTTTGATCAGCTTGTTGATCAGACCCAAAGGCTGGCTGTTTCATAATTGGGCGAAATTGTTTATTGCCTTTTTGTCCTGCACTTGCATCCAAAGCGCCTGACCTGATTTCCCTCTGACCACGGCTGCTGTCTAAAAAAGCAAGTCCCCAGCCAAGTGGTGAAGTACAGCTCAGGTGTGAGCACATCTGCCTTTGAAAGGGTGTCCTAATGGCAGCACCCTTTTGTCATTTTGCCATCATCATTCAGTGACACCCCTGCCACCTCTTTGTTCACTGAGGGTGGGTGCTGGGTGTGCAGGAGGGGGCAGTGCAGGAGCAGCCTGGAGAGGGCGGAATTGGTTCAGAGCAAACAGTAGTTTCACACCAGGGGGCAGCACAGAGCCACTGATAGTTTCTGCTCAGAATCCAGGCTCATCGCATTGACCTTCAAATGCAGTGACGACATCAATTATTCATTTCTACAGGAGGACACTGAGCTGAGTGCACACAGTAGATGAGGCTCGAGGTCAGTGCGAGAGTGCTGGCACAAACTACTTTGTGGAAAAGCACCCCTCCCCTGTGAAGCCGGTGCGTCGTTTTCTCTGCCGGCCATGGTGCCACTGGTACTTGAGTCCCTTGCTTCGCTTTGCACTAGAAATCCAGGAATAGCCCTCAGCTTCATGTCTGTCGTGAGCATCATGTGTGTGTGTCTTTCGGGGATCGCAAGCTAGTGAGGGCACGCATGACAGGGCACTTCCTCCTCACACAGCTGCTCACTGCTGCTGTCGGACAGAAATCACTGCAGAGCGTGTGAACGTGGCTGATGTGCTACGTGCCTGTGGTCTGTGGATGTGGAGATGGAACATCATAGAATTGCCGTGGGTTGTAGTTTTCATCATTTAATTTTTTTAGCCACAGAAATATCAAAACCACTCTTAGTTCTCAGACAACAGACTCGATTTTAGCTACAGGCCATGGTTTGTTGATCCTAGTGTAATGAAAGCGCTTGGGCACCTGTTAAAATCACCCATGTGTCATCTGACATGTCTTGTGATTGACAGTGTTTATGCGTAAGTGATTCTCATCTTGAGTACAAGTTGGGCTGATTTTGGAAGCAAAGCTCTGTGTGTACAGCTAAAACTCAGGCTTTGGCATGGCTCATTCTGTGTTCGCATCATTCCTTCTTCTGGGCACTGGCTCGTAATGGGGAGAATGACTGTCACCATGCTCCTGAGGCCTAGAAACTTCCAGGGAGGCTGTGACTTGATGTCAGATGAATGCTCGTGCTGGTGTGGCGTGTGTGTGTGTGCACGCTCTCATGCCCCCCCCAAACCCCCCCCCCACAGGTTCACAGAGGAGGTTGTGTTGAACTCTGGTGAGATCACACCAGACGTCCGAGGAGGAGAGACTGTGCTTGTCTCTCAGTCTAAGCCGCGCAGCTCCTAGCGCTGGGTGTGCGCATTTATCTACACACTTAGTGTTTATTGAGCACTTGCTAGGAGAAAGCACTCTGCTAGGCCTTGGGCACACAGAGCTGATGTGTGACACAAACCTGTGTGTGAAACCTGTTGCTTTTGAGTACCACTTCTGAGATGTTCAGATGTGATCCCCCAAAGCAACAGTGAAGCCATTCACCTCCGAGCATTCTATTTGCACTTCTGGGCCCTTTGTATGCACTTACTTTCTTACAGATTGTTGAGAGATAGCCCCCACACAAGGCTTCTGTGCTCGCTCAAGAGATTCCACCACTTTAATAAAGATACTATTCATTGTCTTGACTTGACTCTGTAACAGTGCCTTCCCTCAGGCCATCACTCATCAGAGTTTATAGAAGATTTTATCTGCTATGTCACTTAGTCCACTCAATTACCCTGTAGTAGTTCCAGTTTGTAGGTAAAGAACAGAAAGCGAGGCACAGAGAAGTCAGTCA